ATGTTTACAAGTACAATGAGATTAATATATATAGACAAACATAATTAGGGTTATCTCCTAATCAAGGAAACTAGGGTAGAGACTAGGGCCGGCTCCTTTTGGGCTAGGGCCGACTCCTTTTGGGCTAGGGCCGGCTCCTTACTTTATGCCTCCTCCCTTTTGTCTAACTTAGTAGGCCGAAGCCTACATTCCAACACCGACGTCCTAAAGATAATCACGGATTGGATGTTTTGATATGGGTATAGCAGTCACTGTATATCCAAAACTCTGGTATAAGTCAAAATTCCCATTAGGTCAAAATAAATATTTTTCGAGATCTGGCCCAATCCATTATATTCATATCCACATAAGATTATAACAGAGTTGGATAGGTCAGCAGTCGCTTTCTTCAGATTCTGGATGATATTCATTTGGTAGGACTGAATTCAGACCGATGTAGTACTTCTGGATATTCTGTTGCATCCCTAGTTTACACTGCTCTCATAGAAGGAAAAATCAACTGGACAATATGATGGAACCTAACAGGAGAAAATATAGTCAACATAATTGGTGATTATTAATATATATATTTTAAAGCATAGTATGTTTTATCAATATCAATGATGTTCGACATGCGGCAACAAGCGTTACTTCAAATATAAACAGAACGCAAAGAGAAATAAAGTTTGTTTAATTTTTTGTATGAGAATCGAAATGATTGATTTCTTATATGTTTGACTCCAAATTTTCATGCTTACATTGAAGCACCTCTAAATTCTTTAGTGCTTTCATTTTCAACATTCTTCAAGCTTGGATCCTCAATAACAATAATATGTGCTTTGGCTCTTGCACTTCAATCTGAACCTTGAACTCCAATCTATATTTCAAACTGAAATTTATTAATTAGTTACAAATAGCTTCTAGCCTTCTATAGTGTTGTTTTAATGGGATACAATAGTAGAGCTGAGTTCTTAAACTTCTATCTGCAATGCCATATGACTTCAGTATCTAGAAGTGAGGGAGAAACAGTACGACAAGAAGGCATATGTTGATTTCTTCACAGTAAGTTTTACTTTTCTTTAATTATCGTTGGTCATATATCTGTTTTTCCTAATATAAATATTCATGGCACAAATCTCATGTCATGCATGCATCCATTCTATTTCAGGAACCAACAGCTTCACCGGCTGTTACTGGAGTAATGCTGTAAGTGCCTGAAACCAATCCACAGACAGTTGCTTACACTAGATCACAAAGGTCATCAAATCATAACTGGCTGTTTTTTCTGACCAGATATATAGCATCTCCAGACAAGGCCAACGAAAACTACTTGGGGCCTGCATCAATTGAGCAGATTGCCAAGTATTGTCCTCCTAACCTGCTTTCGATCATAAATAGATATTTCAAACCTTCACCACTATTTGCTATATATTTGTGATTGGTAGCTAGATCGAGCACACTAACCTCCTGGAGACCTACTACTTATTTTTATCTGTGTTAGAAGAGTCATCTTTGTTATGTTTATGTAGTTTGTTTTTTAGTAGTCTATTTAAGTTGTTTGTTTTTATCTACAACAATCCGAAGAGTCAAGAACATGATACATTGTGAGAGATAGAATATCCTAGACTATCAACAGGCTTACCAACACATGTACTTTTTTTATTTTTGTTTGGCAATAGGGATCTTTGCAGTATCTAGAAAGGGCATTCTTTGAGATTGAACAAGGTTCTCCATGAATTCTGGAGTTGCTATGGGCTATGTTATTGTGCCTTTTCTTTCACTAATATACCAGGAGCAGGAGCGGTGCACAAGGGTGCTAGGGGAAGACCCATCTAGAGTAGTTTGAGTTGAGGGATCATCGAGAGTATGGAGTAACCAAAAGGTGCCTGTAGGAGGATACCTTGATACTTAGGAATTTATAAATTTGGCGTATATGATTTGGTATGGTGAGATTTAAGTAAATAATGATACATACTGTAGAATAATCATTAACCAATAAAAGAAAATATTTAAAACCATCGATTGTTTAGGACATTGACCCAAAAAATTAACAATTTCAAAGGGAAAGTTAGACCTTTACTTACTTAATGGGTAGAATGTATGAATATGCTCCTCATTGACATAATAAACAACGGAAAAATGAGACATAAGTATTCCTAGCTATGGTTCCTTCATATTCCAAAAGGATCTAGACATTGATGTACTTGATCACTAGGACTTATGAATGTGCTTAAACAATTGACATGGCTCATAATGGAAATGAGACGAAGTACTTATTCTTGGATGTAGTTTCTTCATATGCTTCAAGTAAAGATGATCAAGTAGACTTTGTATGTCCTACAAATCTCTCTTGCGTGGATATGCCAGGGAGGACATGATATCCAACTGATATAAGCCATAACTCTCATGATATAATCAGTTGAGAGGTCCCAAGTTTCACCTGATTGGGAAGGAACAATTCATATCTTTTTGTAATTTTACTCAGATTATGGATTATAAACGTAGGCACATATAGGATATTTCAAAATTGAATTTGGAGTTGAGAATCTACTAAACCAATCATTGTCTATCTACCATGGAGAATTGGAGATGGAAAGGAGCCCAAATCATGTTTCTGTTTCCCAACATGTGATGTGAGGAACTAGAATGTATACTCCAGGATGAGGATGTTGGACAAAACAAATGGTTGTGACTGGGCTAAAGAATTAAGCAAGAGAGGCAAGTTTAGTCCAAGGTGTTTTGGAATGTTCGAGATCATAGCAATAGTGGCTTACCGACTAAGGTTACTTTTGATTTGTGTCTCTAATTCTCATATTTACGTTGCATGGTCATGCTCCTTGGTGGGATATGGTCGTGTCCAAAAACAAGTGGTGGATAGAAACATTTGGAAGGTCACAATAGGGTTTTCTGCCCCATTCTTACACAATCGTGTTGGTCCAAGTTCAGACTAGCGGGCGACTTCATCTGGCAACCTAGTTCACGCCTAAGGTCTCACGACATGCATATCCAGATTTCTGTATTTAGCCCTTGTTGACCCATGTCCTAACATATCTTCTTTTTGTTTCTATCATGAACACTCCCATACCTCTAGCAGAAGGAACTTGTATTTTCTCCATTTTTCTCTTCTTCAAGCATTATGCCATCATCTTTTACTAGTGGATTTCTCACGGTGGTCTCTTCTACCTGTGGTTTTCCTCTATTTTAAGTTTTTCCACTATTTTGAGTTTCCATGTAAATCTCGGTTGTCTCCTATCCCCATCTCTTTATTATGTTGCTTGATGTTTATATCTTTATGAACCACCATATTTGTATGTTTTGAGGATAAATTGTCTTACACATAAAGAACATCTTTGAGAGTTCAAGTTAAGGATTGTTGGGATGCTAACAAATGCTTAGTTTGACCCTAGTTAAACGTTGTATTTGGGATTAAAGTTAGCTAGGAAATCTTATTTGCGTTAGGGTCGGGGAGGGGGTGGGATGTAGGCTTGACCTCTACCCCAAAGGATAAAGTGTCTGTTTCATGAATACACTGACTTGTTCAAAAGTGCGAGCAAATAAACGGGAAGAGAAAGAAGGAAGAAATAAGGGAAGAAGAAAGAAAGGAAAAAAGTAAAGTAGCAAAAGGAAAAGGAATAATGAAACATATTGGTTTTAGCATGAAAGACATATTTGGTTCTCATTTGGTTTTGGTGGTTATGGCATGCCTAGTATGCGGACTCATGAAAAGAACTAAAAGGCATCATCCCAAATCCATTTGCATTTTCTAATGACATCTTACAAGATGTTTTTGGAAGAAGAAAGATCACCTTTAGGGTTGAAATTACAAACAATTATGGATGACAAAGACTCCCAAACAAGTTGCACCTTAAACTATGGTCATTTACTCACTGGCTTAATAAAGGTGGCTTCGTGATCGAGAATGTCTCTAAGTTCAAGGAAATTATGGTGACTTAGAGAACATGGATATTAAATATGAGGAACGTTTGGGTTTATTTCTACTTTGTTCATTGCCTAATTCTTATGCTAAGTTTAGGGAACAATTTTTTATACCCGAGATATTCTTGCTTCAGAAGATGTTCGTAATGCGTTGTGTCTAAAAGAAGTACGGAGATTATATATGCAGGAACATCTTGGGTGGAAGGCCTTTAGTGTTAGAAAGAGATCCAATGAAGGTTTCAAGAGCGGCGACACGTTATCAATCCAAGTTAAAGATCAGAAACAGATTTTGCAATTACGGCACGTAGAAAGGATACATGATTTATGATTGTTTTAAGCTTTAGAACAAGATCAAAGCTAGCAGAAAAGGAAACCATCAATGGATTTAGCTGAAGCTGATGTAGCCGAAGAGAAAATGGGTGATCTTATTATCATTTTAGATGAAGATAACATGTCTTCACTGAATTGGAGTTTAGATTTGCGGTGTATCTACCATGTGTCGCAATACAGATTGGCTAGCCACATATTAGTCTTTCACTAGTTCATTTCAAGTTAGTACAAAGCTTTGTGCAAAGTTGTGGGACATGGTAATATCCGAATCAAGATGTTTGATGATGTTATCAGTAATATGGGTAAAGTGAAACATGCACCAATCTGAAGAGGAATTTGATTTCTCTAAGTTCTCACCATCACAAGGGCTACAAGTTTATTGGTGCAAGTGAAGTTGTTGAGATGAATAGTTGAAGGTGATGTTCTTTTTGGTGACTAGAGGATCCCTTGTATACTTGAGCTGTAAATAAATGGATGTCAACCTTTATATTTTGGAAAGCAACATAATTCTTGGAGATTCTGAAGTAGCTTCATCATCAATGTTGCTTTCCTATAAGACGAGATTGTAACATGAGGTTACGCGAAATAAGTGAATTTGGTGTGGAGAGATTGAGTCGTGGAAATTTGTTGGGTTGTGAAAGCACCCAAACACTTTCTATATGCAAGACTGCAAACATTGTGTATTTGGGAAATAAAGGGAGTATTGTTTTTTATAGTTTCGCTCATTTTCTACCAAGGTAATGTTTTACTTGCATTAAGATCTTTGGGGATTAGCGCAAGTTTAGTCATTGTGCTCTTTGTACATATTGACTATGATTGATGACTCTTCATGGAAAGTTTGGGTATTTTTTCATGAAGGAAAGTGATTTGTTTGAGAATTTTAGAGATTGGAAAACTATGGTAAAAAAACAAATAGAATAACACGTAAATTAACTCCATGCCGATAATGGGTTGGAGTTCTGTTCGGAGGAGTTCAATGACTATTGTATAACTCAAAGGCATTAGAGACACCACACGATGGTTGACACTCAAACGGTTTTGGCCGAACACATGAACCTTACAACTATGGAGAAGGTATGGGGTATCATGTATGTTGTTTAATTTCGGATCGACAAATTTTTTTTTTAGGTTGAAGCTGCTTCTACTGCTGGATCAACCTTTCTCCCTCACATGCCATCAAAACGAAAACACCTATTTAGGTGTGGTTGGGCAAACATTTAGAATTTTCTATGTTGAAGATTTTTGGGTCTGGCTTATGCCTAGGTCAATAATGGAAAGCGTCAACCCCGTATAGTGAAGAGTGTGTTTCTTGGGTTCCAAGTTGGGATCAAATGTTATAGATTGTGTGCAGACCCGAAAGACCATGATTAGTAGAGATATGACTTTTGATGAAGAGTCGATGTTTGGCATGTGTCATACCCTGGGTCAGATAGTGGTAGGCTGGGATAGGGAAAGTACATTCAATCAATGCACTAGTACAAGTAAATAACGCAGAGTATTAAGTATAAATAAATGGGTTGTGTTTGTAAGTGGCATCGTTTATTTTGTTGATTGAAATTGGCACGCGGGAGATCTTAGTCTCTGAGAAGACCATGTAATCATCCGATCTTAATAGAAGATTTATGCATTTGATGATTCGTGTGTATCAAATGGTTTCATAATAATCGTTCTAGGAATTCACACTAGGATCTTGCTGCTAGTGCACACAAGATGATCTAGAGTATTACATCAATGCAATCGACAATAGATGTGGTCAAGAAGATTGGAAAACCATAAAGGAATCGCTTCAATGAGATGTAAAAAACAATCGATAGGGGAGATTGCAAATGGATCATAGACTCATAGTAGAAAGTGGAAAAGACGAAGACGAGAGAGGAGAAAGGAGAGAGCGAAGCAATCGTATGTGGAACTGTATCGCCACTTAAGAAAACATTGAAGTTGACTTTCCCTGATTCAGATCCAGATCTGAAGTCAGATCCTAATCAGAATCCAAATCCGAAAACAAAATCCAAAATCATATGCAATTCTGAAACGGGACGCGATCTCGAATACAGAACCAGATCCGAGTCGAGATCCCTTGGATCCATATCTAGAACCGCTTCAAAGTTTTGTGACTGATCTTTACGGCTGGATTATGAATATGATGGGTGTAAATTGGAATATCCCAATTGCCTTTTATTACACCTCAGAATTTTGATAAAGAGAAGAAATATTTGTGTGATTGGTGAAGACGGAAGAAGTTCAAGAAGGAAAAATAGGAAGATAAGAGTAATGTAGTTCTATTTCTTTTTAATTTCTTCAGACCTGGAGGACAAGGTGATAGGTTTGGGCATGGGTATTGTTATACCCTAGATCAAATAGTCATTAGTGGTATGTTGAGTAAATGGGTCAAAATTGGTAGGCTGTGGTAGGGAAAGTATAATCAATTAATGCATTGGTACAAGTGAGTAACTTAAGGTATAAGTAAAGGGCTTGTGTTTGTAAGGGGGCATTGTCTAGTTTGTTGATTTGAGATTGGCAAGAGTCTTGGGAGAGATAACTGAGAAAACCTTGTAATCATTCATTTTTAATAGATGATTTACGCATTTGCTTATTCGTATGTCATCCGAGGCCATATAACAAGAGAAGGGTATTTCGAATGAAACGCAAACCTGGGGATTTGAAGTAAGGCGCATATTTCAATTAGCACTTTTGGTGTACCTACTTCTCCACAACCATCTATTTCACAATCGTCGACACAACTGTCTATGTCAACTTGTTTTGGTGAAAATGATGGTAATCCCTAATCAAATGCGTCGTCATATGAACAATCGGAGTTCTTTTTTTTGATTAACCTGGATATCCAACCCGCTATGCGAGCCGACTAATTCGAGGCGACCACCTGCTTTGCAGATAGCCCGGAGTCACCGCGTTTGAACTTCCGTGGCCACAAGAGGATTTTTATTCCTCCTTGGATTTGAACCTGGAACCTCCTGGTACTTTTGACCTTTGGAGCCAAGCTCAAACCAATCAGGCACCACCCTTGTGGTTAAACAATCAGAGTTTATTGCTAGATATTTGAGTCATAGATCTGTTGTACCTATGAGGAGTTATGCGGAGGTTGATTTTGTGGCATATGCTTTTAGTGTTGTATCGTAGATCAAATCAGTTGAGGAACCTTCTACTTTTGTCGAAGCCGTTAGATCTCCAGATTCGAAGAAGTAGAGGAGTCTATAGAAGAATGGTACTTGGGATCTTGTTTCTCTTCCAAAAGGAAGACACCTATTTGGTGTAAATAGGTAAACAAGAAGGATGTGACATTAGAAATCGAAGATTCCACATTCAAAGCTAGACTTGTGCCGAAGGAAAGTCAAATCCCATGCATTGATTATATAGACTTTTTCTCTGAAACATACTTTTATTCGTGTATTGTTGCATTGCATGATCTTGAGCTTAAGCATCTGCGATTTTGCATGGGGAATTAGAGGAAGACATGTATATTGACCGACCTGAGGGATTTGTTGGTGCATGGTTTGTTTCTTGAAGAAGTCGCTGTATGAGCTAAAGCAATCACTGAGGTGGTACAAGAAATTTGTTGCATTTATGACTTACATGGTTGTTGTTCATAAGATTGATGTGTCTATTCGAGGAGAGGTGAGGATTGGTCTTTTGTGTACTTGTTGCTATGCCTGAATGACATGTTTATAGCCACCAAGGGCATGAATGAAATCTAAGTGGTTAAAAAATAGCTGAATGAAGAGTTTGAAATGAGATTTGGGGTGGGCATGAAAGATTCCCGGTATGGAGATTATTAGGACGTAGGGCTTTGATTGTGTCAAAGAAGCTACATAAGGGAAGTGTTCGGTGCCAGGGCCGCTTTCCACTCTGTTAGCTCCTCACTTCATGTTATCTATGGATTTGTGTCCCATTTTTTTTATCATGAGAGGGCATATAGATATGTCCTGTGTTTCATATTCTAGTGTTGTGGGGTCATCGATGTATTTAATGTTTCGAGCTGAGACATGGCTTATCCGGTGTGCACCAGAAAGCAGTTTAGTGGATCTTTAGGTATCGATCTGGTACCAAAGATATTTGGTTGCATTTTGGGACGTCTAAAAAGTCGGGATTGTTGATTACGTTAACTCATATTTTGGGATGCCCTGGATAAGCATTGTTCTCTCATTGGTTATGAGTTGGAAGGCTGTTCTTCTACCTAGGGTATTTTGTTTTGTTTATTACTGAGGCAGACTATATGACAATATTTGAATGAGACGATTGTAACTATAACCTGAAGGGGATAGTGAGTTTAAATATATCACAGCTGTAATTAGAAGATAGGGTCTCGGTAGACATTTCTTTGAGAGGAGAATATGTAGAGTGATTACACAAGTAAAGGCAGGATCAAACGAGAACATGGTCAAATTAAGAGAACAAGAAAAACGGCCGAATCACATGTGATTTTACATGCAATTACAAAACAGCCGGCCGGAAGAGTTTAGGTAAGACTTTCAAAGTGACTCGACGGGAGAATCCCAGGAAGAATCACAACAATTCCCCAATCCTAACGAAGTATTTCCTTCAGATCCCAATGAACAATGATTACTTAGGGTTAGCAAAACAAGGGTGAGCTGGCGACCCAGCTCCCAGTGACCCATGTCGGGGCCAAAGCCGCATGAATCACATGTGATTCGGCCGTTTTCATGTTCTCTTATTTAGTTGTTGTTCTCATATGAACCTGACAAGTACTCCAAAAAAAAAGCTAGGATGAATATAATTTCGCATAGAAGACCCCCTAATGAAAATTAAGCATGAAGTTTGTAGTCTCAAAAAGACATCTTATTCATTCACATTTATGTAATAATAAATCCTATCAATAATCTTGTTAGTATTAATATACTAATTGAATGATACGCGCAACATGGATTTGGTATTTTGAGTATTGTTTGTATTTTGTTCCATTGGGCAGGCAAATTGTTAGTGCAGAAGGACCATCAGGACCCAACAGAGACTACCTTTTCAACCTTGAGAAGACACTGCTGCATATGGGTACGTTTTAAATGAGATTTATCGAGTCTCTCTGTCTGGTCTGGTCTGGTCTGGTCTGGTCTGGTCTGGTCTGGTCTGGTCTGGTCTGATGATGTATAGATTTTCATATTTGTAGGTTGCAAGGATGAACACGTTTTCAAGATTGCAGAAGCAGCAAGGAAACTTATTTCGGACTCATAAACTGCATAATCATTCTTCACATCATATCATTCTAAAAGAATTTCATTTCATTTTAGGAATGATGGATGTTGATTGCAAACTCCCTGTGTCTCTAATGAATACATTTTGGGTCATTTTACTTCTATTTATTAGATGGAGTTAAGTATTGGATATCATATGTTATAATTATCAACAAAGCCGGATTTAAACAAATCATCGGATCTGATAAATTCATCGTCACTAAAAATGGCATGTTTGTAGGTAAAGGTTATGTTTCCGAATGTATGTTTAAACTTAGCATTGAATACAATAAAATTGCATCTTGAAACAAATAAAACTTGGCAATTAGCCGAATTGCCTCAGGGTTGTAAAACCATAGGATACAAATGGGTTTTAAAATGAAAACCGCAAGTAGATGGCACCGTTCGAAATATATAAAGCCATGTTAGTAGCTACGTGGTACAAGCAAAAAGAAAATTGTGGGTCTCAAACCCTGGATTTGTAGATAATACAACTAGCATCCGCTTCAACACTAAGAAACAAATTCTTATATTTTTCCTTGTAACATTTTTATCTGTAACAACATGGATCGGATATAACACAAAAGGACTAAAATCCTAACCTTAGTAACTTGTTAGAATTAAGTTTTCAGATCTTAGTCAACATCGGATGCATAGCTCAGGTAAAAACGAGATCAAATCTTTTAGTTTGATTATTCACCGTCCGATTTAGAGAGTCCGATGGACCTATACATTCATCTTGAGTTTCAAGAACCCACATTTTATTCTAATTATGGGTCATGAACTTACTCTTTCTTTCCATGGTTAAACTTGAAGTTGAAAGCAGTTTGCTAGTGCAAATCTGATGTGTTCGAAAAACAACATGTTTATATTGATCGTGAGTTATATTCCAGATTTTGTTTGATTACAGAGTTATGATTCCGTTCAGAGTTAATCCAGAATTCTGGAGATGTTGATCTAGAGTTCTGTTCAGAGTTATATCGAGTTACAATACACTAAGAGTTAGTCAATCGAACAACACTTCCAGATTTATCATTGTTTATAAGGAAGTTCTTCCAGAGTAGTCCTATGTAATCAGAGTTAGAGATCAGAGTTTACAGACGTTCATTCCCAATGTATCCAGAGTTATTTCGTATGTATCTAGAGTTATGCCATGTGTATCAAGTTAGCCTAGTGCATTCAGAGTTTTGTTGTCGGCTCTCTGCACAATAGTGGCATTTTGATCATAACTTTCTCGTTACTACTCCAAAATTAACGAGTCTAGATGGGTTGGAAAATCTAAGACACAATTCTACATCTTTGATGCTTTGAGCTTTCCAAAATCAAGTTGCTGATATGTCAAAAACTGTGTTGAACTCGAGTGATAGCTGTTGGACAGAAGCCGAGAGTTTTTCAAAAACACTATTTGACTTTTGAAAAGTCAACTTTGAGCTTAAAGGCAAATTTAATCATTCGCTGGTCTTTAAGGGCAATCAGATGTTCTTAATGAATGTTTTTCTGATTTTAAAGAGATTTATTCTCTAATCTTGTAGCCCCATCTTGGGGATCTCAAAGAACAAAGTTGTTGACTTTCAAAGTCAAATCTTTCTAATTTCAAGTTAATGAGTTCTCCTTTGATTTTTATGAATTCATGCTTAGACAATAAAGTGTTATGAACCACTCCCACATCTGATATCAAAGTCACATGCTCTGAACTTAAAAATCACTCACTTTAAAGACAGATTCTTTGTTTGCCTCCACTCGAGTGCGTAATTTGTAATTCAAAGTTTATGAGTAGTGATCACCAATAAATAGTTCTTCATGCTTACTTCTACCTTAATTTCTATGGAGTTTCTTGATTGTTGTCTAAATATGGGATCTACACAGTTTTCATCATTCATTCGATTTCCTCTACGAAGGACTGGAAGTCCTTGAGTAGAAATAGTTTGACCAGAAGTGGATGGTGCTGATGAAGATGGTGCAGAGGTTGATGATATCTCTAGTAGCGGGCTCTTGATGAACTCAATTAAGCTTTGGATAGAGGTATCAGTCATAGAGATCTGGGATGATAGAGTGTGGAGCTTGGTTTGTAGAAGTAGGTTGTGAGCATTATAGTGTTGTGTCATCAAATGTTTGAGCATCTCCAGCTTGTCTGCATTGGCTTGAGATTGAGCCTTAAGTGCCTGGACCAAGGTCCTTAGTAAAGCAAGTTCATAAGTAGAGGCAAAAGCCTCGGTCTATGAAATTGTGAGTTTAAGATCATCCAAGGATCTCTGAATGATGTTAGCAAGGGCCTAGAACTCTACCTTTGTAACAAACTCAGAAGTATAGGTAACCTTGGGTTCAACACATGAACCCAATTTGATCTTGAGTTTAGAGGTGCCTTTGTTCAGGCCTGTGTGTATGTTGAGCTTGAAAGGACTTCGACTCGATCCTTGTGGCACTTTAGAAGATGAAGAGGACAATCTAGGTGTTCTAATCTTACGTTCGAGCCTTTCCTCACCAGAGTCGGTAAGGTCGAAGTATATGTGACAGCCATATTGCTGTAAACTAAGTGCAAACAGACCATGTGCTTTAAGTAATTGCCATTGCCTCCCTAATAGATAGTATTTGGCATCATAATGTGTGTTCCCTATGGACCTGGGGAGCGCGGTTTTCTCAACAAGGGCAATAGATGCTTTCGTTTGTGTGTGTTATGTCGGAGGAGAAGGGACTCTTATTTTCGCATTAATGTCTTTTTGACAGGACGAGGAGGAATATAGGCTTCCTTGGCTATGTGTAGTCTAGAGCCCGAAAGATCGGTCTCTGGATGATGTAGCTGGGTTTCTAGTGTGGAAAGATGTTGTTTATCCAATCTTGACTAACTTGAACTGTTGGACTTGTTTTGATAATTGTTTGATAGGTCAGGGTAGATTTTGTAGATTGCTCAAAGAATATTGTGGATATAAGTCAAAGGATTGCGCCTCACATATGTGGAAACTACAAGGGTGGCGGAATCCGTTATTGGTATCTTCGTGGGCTGTTTGTGTCATTTTTAAAAGATATATAAGAGTCCTTTCATCATCTCGCCGGCTCATTCTCATTCATATTCTTTCAAAGCTTACGTTGAGCTCTCCTTTTTTCTCTCAAAATATACTCTCTAAATACTCTTTAGATTTACATTCATATTTTAGATAATCTTTAGTTGTTCTTAAATTTCATTGTTGTTTTCTGTTTAGATCTAATTTTATATTATTTCTGTATTGTAGTCTATTGTTGTTATCTTGTTGATTCAATAAAGTAAATCGTCGATTTCTATGTTAAACATATTAACATCGAGGTTCAATCTGAACTTACGTCCTTCTTCAATATCACCAAGTGCTTGATCACTTGTGATAGTTTTTATGGTTGCTCCGGTTGGACTCGGCTTGATTCGCTCATTTGTGCCTTTTGGGCATCTTTATTCAATCTCTCATCCACATTTTCCCTCTCGGTATTAGGGTCAGAACACTCTTGGTTGCTCTCTATATTCTTTTGAGAGACACTTCGCCCCTCACTTGGTGTAGGCTCTATACTTTGGTGGTGCATGGTTAAATCGTCGTGAAAGGAAACACGTCCTGAACGAAAACTAGATGGTACAATCAAAAACAATTCTTACTTTAACTAAACAACAATGAAGGACTTAACTATTTCAAGTAGTATTGACTAAGATAAAATATATTTTCCATGTTCATAGGAATACATCTATGTTTCTGCTTTACAGTACGATATCTTTTGGGCATTTCTAAAAATATCAAGTCTTATTCCTATTTTGATATTTTTCATTTCGGGAGTCTTAGCTCTGAATAGGAAAGGACCAGAGAAACTTTTAGTTATAAATTAGGTATATAACCAATAGGCGAAGATTGGCTGCAATTTAGAACGGTTATTATCTGTTTCCTCTAGTTTTTGTCGTTGAAATTATTTTTCTTTATCCATGGATAATGAATTTCGATGTATTAGGTGTATCCATATTTGTAAAAGTTTTAATTCTCAAAATTATCGTAATTGTTGGTTTAGTTTATACATGGCAAAATGAGACATTCAAATGGTCTTTTAACCCCCGAATATTCAAACAATAAAAAGAAAAAAATATATTATCCAAGATAAAAAAATATAAATAAAACAAAAACCACAATAATAATTTTTAAACTAAAAGGATAGAGATAGAAACTTTTAACAAACCACATCCACTAAAATAGTAGTTTATATTTATGGGATGTTTGGATAAACAACTTATGTCAGTATCAAATCGGTAATAAGAAGTTTTTAAAAATATTAAACTTTTCTGACTTATAACTAAGTTAATAAATATTTTTATAAAAAAATATAAGTTGTTTCAAATAAACAATCTCAAACACCCGATATATATTTTATGGTATGAAATATTTGAACATAAACAAATGAGAAAGGGTACATCGGGAAATACACTTGTCTTTTCACACAGACACACACGAGATTACGGGTACGGTCAAAGTTGTGGTTTTCCCACACGCCACCACCTTATTTATCACACACAAACACAACCCAAACTCGTCTTATTATCATTACCTCTGTGACTCTCACACCTCCTCTCTCTCTGTTTAAATGTATATATATATATATATATATATACATCTCTGACACGCACAGAGTCACACCCACCCACCACCAAGCTGTTCCTCCTTGTACCCATTAACTCCTCATCTATCGACTTTCAACCCATCGTACTACTGGCTTCTGAGGAGAATGCCGACTTCAGAATCATCATTTCTCAGGCAGCTGAGTGAAAAAGAAGGCTGGAAACTAAAATCCAAGAGATGGGGTGGATATAGTTACAACCATAGTAGCAGCAGCGGCAGTGAGGCACATTTGATGCAGATGGAAGGGGTTGGGATGTACGCAAGTAATGGTGGACGCTATGGATCTGCTGGTGGTGGTGGTGGTGGTGCTGCGATGGTGGAGAAGAGGAAGAGAGTTATGGTTATAGTCGACCAATCGATACATTCGAAGCATGCTATGTTATGGGCACTCACGCATGTTGCTAACAAAGGAGATATGCTTACTCTCCTTCAAATTAGCCCTAATCTCAAAAAGGAAACTGAAGGTTCATCTCCTGCTCTTGCTAATCACCTGGTTACCTCACTTGGTACCCTCTGCAAGGCCTGTAAGCCTGAGGTAAAATTGCTTCTGGATCTCTACATCTCCTTCGTATTTTAGATCTAAACATTCATGTAATATGGGTTTTACATTATTATGCTTTGCGAATCTACCAACTGCAATTTCCCCTTTCTGGAACTCAAATTCATTGGCTCAGTGTTGGGAACGATGAGATCTGAACTTGGATTTCCTCAGTTCTTGTTGGATTCATGGCGATTAAGAGTTAAAAAGGGGGCAAAAAGAGGGTTTGCAAATTGCAGTATATAGCTAGCTTGTTTGATTAATTGGAAATTGAATGCAGGTAGAAGTGGAAGCGTTGGTGGTTGAAGGGCCAAAGCTAGCAACAGTTGTGAGCCAAGTAAAGAAGCTAGAGGTGTCGGTGCTTGTTTTGGGTCAAAAGAACTCGTCCCCATTTCTGCATTGGTTCGTCCTTTTACACCTCTCACTATTTTCTTCATCCTATAAAGTTTTTGCAATTTTTCGTAGAATTAGAATTAGGAGCCGTTTACCTAATCACCTACCCATGAAATTTAATATTGTCATTTACTTACCGGGTAAAATTTTAGTCCACGAAAACAACATCGTATGCAACAATTTACCTGGTAAACACTAACCGTGGTAAGAGCTGTGACTCTCACTTACCGAGTAAGACTTTCGGGGTTGTTTACTAAACGCTTACCCGGTAAGTACTTACTGTGCAATTTTTTTTACCGGATGAACATGGCAAGGGGCAAGAATCTTACCCGGTAAGTACTTACTGTGCAATTTTNTGAACATGGCAAGGGGCAAGAATCTTACCCGGTAAGTACTTACTGTGCAATTTTTTTTACCGGATGAACATGGCAAGGGGCAAGAATCTTACCCGCTAAGTACTT